GGTTTGTGTTTTATGGCAGCGATTCTCAACCTTCCTATCTCATGGCGTATAAACTAGTTACTAAAATTCGGCAGCACACCAAAATGTATTAAATAGCTTTGCCGATCTGACAAAAAATAGGTATAATTTGGATTCTTTCACACCGGCTGGCTATTGTTGTGTTGGCTGTTGTCATTTTTTATGTGACAGTCTCAGGGAAGAGAGGTCAGTGGCCCTGACGAAACAGTCAGGTATTGCAGGTGTTAAACTTGCTGTGGCCACCGGTTGAGATCGCTGCGCTATGGGGAGACTGCACGGGCATCCTAAGGACTTGTACCAGGTCTATACTTCACCTACTGTGCGCTGTGCATGCGCTCACCTGGGCACCTGTTAGAAAAGCAGGTGAGCAGGTCACTCCAGAGTTACTGAGTCAGAGTCTGTCTGAGGGTGGGGCGCGGGATTCTGCCGCCCAGCCTGAGAGACCCGCTGCATGCTGGGGTTTGAAAGGCGCTCCCGGAAGGGGTCAGGTGTGAAGGACAGATGCACTGTTCTCAGGAAGAGACCACTGCTTGATATCAGTTCATGCGCTGTGCATGCGCTCACCTGGGCACCTGTTAGAAAAGCAGGTGAGCAGGTCACTCCAGAGTTACTGAGTCAGAGTCTGTCTGAGGGTGGGGCGCGGGATTCTGCCGCCCAGCCTGAGAGACCCGCTGCATGCTGGGGTTTGAAAGGCGCTCCCGGAAGGGGTCAGGTGTGAAGGTCAGATGCACTATTCTCAGGGAGAGAAACCACTGCTTCATATTAGTTTGTTCAGAAATGGTTAAATCTCCATAATAAAAATGGACAAATGTAGTAAAGGAGGGCAGTGAGTAATAATGATAAAATAATCCCATATAATAAAAGCCTGATATGCTAAGTGTCCGGTCGGCCATTCAACCAGTCAAAGCGTAATATGCTAATGATATGCTAAGGCTGCTCAACCGCTCACTATGATGTGCACTGACCACCAGGGGGCAGACAGTCTACTGGTCGATCGACCAGTCGCTATGACATGCACTGGCCAACAGGGGGCACACAGTTGACTGGTTGACCAGTCACTATGACCTGCACTGACCACCAGGGGGCAGGCGCTCTGACCGGTAGGTTAGTTTGCTGCTGGGGTCCGGGCGATCGGGACTGAGCAAGATGGGCCAGACATGCCCTGGAGCCCTCCTGCGGTCCCTCCCTGGCTGGCCAACTTCTTGTGTCCCTCCCCAGCCCCGATCATGCACTGGTGGGGTCCCTTGGCCTGGCCTGCACCCTCTCACAATCTGGGCTGAGGGACCTCCCCCCGCACCCCAGTGCATGAATTTCGTGTACTGGGCTTCTAGTAATGAAATAACAGTAATATAGCTAGCATTTTTTGACTATTCCCTAGGCCCCAGATTCTGTGCCAAACATGTATATTCTCTATCTGATTGTACTCTCCTAACAGCCAATGAGTTATGCATTACCTCCATTTATCAGTCAAGAAATTGAGTTCAGGAATGTGAAGTAATGATAGGGAAGATGCAGACTCCGGCATCTTGCAGCCCTGTATCCACAACACTGTACAACCTGGCTACTGTGTCATTAGAAATCAACTATATGTTGCATAAATTTGGTTTTATGTCTTTCTTGGGGACAGGATCAGCATCTTATGTTGTCCCTTTTGTCCCCTGTTCCTAGCAGAATGCCTACACATAGTAGGGACTTGCTATGGAACTTAACTGAATCAAAGGAAACACGCTTACTCCTGGTGCAGGAATGAGATGCAAAGGAAGTGGTGTAAGATTTGGGGGTACTGAGATTGAATTGAGAAACTGGTGTCATTTCTGGGATGACAAGCTCCAGTGGGGAGGTAACTGATGGGTGGAAGCAGAGGATGCCAGAAGTAACGGGGTGCTTTATCCCCTGCTATGCAAAGTTCTGTTTCCCGTGTTTTATCGCACTTTTGGGACAGTTATAAACAATGTTGAATCATGGCAGTGGTCATGGATATCTGTCTCATTCCTAGTTTAAGGGATTGCATTTATCATTAACTGTGGGTTATTATTTCAGACAGCCTTTATTCCGTGAATGAAATCAGCTATTTCTAGCTAACTTCAGCGATCTGGTGGTTTTCCCCTTTGCCCTGTAAATATGATAACTATTTTAAGAATAGATTTCCTAAGATTGAACCATCTTTGCATTCTTGCTAGGAGTCATTATATATTAGCCTTCTAATATGTAGCTTAATTCAACCCAATATATTACTTTGGATTTTTTTTCACAAGTGAGATGGTTGGCACTGTATCCTTAAGATCTGTACAACTCACAAGATCTACACAACTTCCATTTTCTCATCTCCTTCCCTTGGCTACTAATGAACTACTTCCTGTTTCTCCAGCCCGATGTTGTATCCCACCGTAATGTGGTCAGCACCTACACCGCCTGCCCTCTGCTTTCTTCCCTTCTCCAGGCTGTGCTCTTGACTGAGGGTGGAGCCAGTATTTTTCCATTCTCCTCTCTATGGGCTGTTTGGGTTCTGGGTACGCGTGCTGCATGGATAATGGGTGTACCTTGGTTTAGTGGACATCTCTTTCTCTTCTAGCTCTTTCGTTTTGAATTGAGTAAAATTCACATAACAGAAAAAATGGCAGTTAGTACATTCATAGTGTGCACAAAGCCATCATCTCTGTCTAGATCCAAGAAACGTTTATCGCCTGTAAAGGAAACCACATACCCACTAAGTAGTCACTCACCATTCTCCCCCTACCCCAGCCCTTGGCAACTGCTAGTCTGCTTTCTGTTTATGAGAATGACCTGGTCAGGATGTTTCACATCTGTGGAATCATACAACATGTGAGCCTTTGTGTCAGGCTGCACATATGTTTATAGCAGCCCTATTCACAATGGCCAAAGGTGGAAACAGCCGAATGCTGGTCAGCTGAGGAGGGTGAACAAGTGGTCTCTCTGTACAATGGACTGTTAGTCAGGATAAGGGAAGTGCTGGTGCTACAACATGGACGAGCCTTGAGAACGTGGTGCTAAATGGAAGGTGCCAGTCTTCCCGTGGCCTCTGTGGGAACACGCTCAGAGAACGGACAGTCAATCTTGGGGGTGGAGGGGGCGAGTGCAGAAAGTCAGCAATCCATTTTAGACCAATGCAGAGCACAGCCCACATCTCGTCAGTTTATCTCGCTTTGCTTACATCTTAGCTATTTTTTAAATTTTATTTATTTATTTATTTATTTTTTTAAATTTTATTTTATTAAATCTTTATTGTTCAGATTATTACATTTGTTCCTCTTTTTCCCCCCCATAACTCTTTTCCTTCCAGTTCCCACCCAACC